GGTCTTGAGAAGAAGATTTTTGAAATTTCAGTCAATTCAACCCTTTTTGGCCCCACCCATCAGCCCCTGGGGGTCAGTCAGGGCTCATAGGTGCATACTATCAAACTGCTACCTAATACTGATAATGCTAACCCAAATTGAATTACTTCCAATGGAAATTAAACAAATATTGGTCCAAAATGTGATTTCCCTATATAAACTATAGTAAAGTTTACCCCCTCCCCAGGGGGAAACGTGAGACCCAAGGGTCAAGAAATTCACAATTTCTGTTGACCTTTGTCCATGGAAGGTCCTTGCAAAATTTCATTGAAATTGGTTCAGGGGTTTTGGAGAGGAGGTCGAAAATGTAAATTGTTTACGGACGCACGACGGACGACGTCGGACAAAAGGCGATCGCAATAGGTCACTTGACTCAGGTGACCTAATTATATGTTAACTCATCCACCCCTGAAATTTCATAATGAACCTTTGAATTTGAAGAGTTCAATTGTGTCTTCAGGGGTGAATGAGTTCAGGGTGGACAGTTTTAAAAATCAGATTTGCCTGCCCTTCCTGATATTAAATCACTTTAAATAAGTGACAGGGGGTCTCTGAAAAAAATCCCTTTGATCCCTTCCATACAGTTATTCCTGGAAAATGTTTTCTTCAACTATGTTTTCTTCAACCATCGCTTTGACATTTCAGATTTTATTCATGTTAAACCTTTTCCTGTACCTTATGGCTACCCTGCATTTTGTAGTCAGTCAGCTTCTGTGTCAGTTTACTGATAGTAGCCTCCAGAGTCTCTGCCTGTTTCCTATAGCCATCGATGACTCCCTCCAGGTGCTGGACACGACTTGTGGTCAGTGACCCGATATTACTGGTCAGTTCACTCTCATAGGAATCTATGATCTGTTTGTACCCATCTCTTTCCTACAGAAAACAGCAATATGACAAAGTAAATATATATTTACTAGACAATCTATAATATTTATATATATTTATCTAAAATACACATTTCAAAGTCTTAAAATCTTATCATATCGACACCATTTTTTAGCAAAATGACTGCCCATCATATAGATGGGTAGGGTAATATTTTTCATCTTTTTCGCCCGCTGTAACGAGGACAAATTTCTCATTAACTCATTCACCCCGAAGACACATTTGAGCTCTTCCAATTCAAAGGTTGGAATGGTTCATTATGAAACTTCAGGGGTGAATGAGTTAAAGCAGAAGTGAACAGCATAATAAACATAGTAATTATGTGAAGGGTGAAATCAACATTGGGTACAAATTGATTTCAAGGTCAAAGGGCAAAAATGTCCCAGTATACAGTAAAACCTGTCTAATCTGACATCCTTAGGCACAACATACTTGTCAAGTTACACAGGATAGTGGTCACATTAGGTAGAAATGGCATTCTAACATAACAGTCAAGACAGGATGTCGAAATACTTCAGGGATCAGTTTGGAAACAATTTAACAGTATAGGAAATAAAATTGTTGGAATGTACCAAGATGGCATTCTTATATAACAGTTAAGAACGAAAAGCGTTTTATTGATATTACTGAAGGTAGAGATCAAAATGTAATACAATGTACTATCAAAAACATCCTTACACACTGTAACCTCTGCTATTAAATGTCAAACATGTACCAAACTTATGTTTTTCTTTTACAGAGATAGAGCTTCTCCCATGTAAGAAAGTGGCCCCTCTTTCATGCGTACCGTATATGTTGAAGATTGGGAATCACACCCTCAAGAGTTATGAATAGGGAGTAAAACCCTCGACAAATCCTCTTGAGGTGTAAAGGAGTGGAGAATAAAAGTCAACTGTCACCGTTAACTCACTGTTGTCAAAATCATACCATTAGTCAGAGACTACTATTGATGCAGCTACTGGCACTGGTATGAACTCCCGGCCATTACCTCCCACTATGTAGCATGCAGGGTTGAGTTAACATAGTCTGCATAGATATAATTTGGATAAAGCAGAAGATTTATCCGTGGGATGTACCTTAGAGAAGAGAAGAAGTTTGCGCTGGAAGCGTTTAAGCTGCTCCATGAGATGTTGTGATCTGATCTTGTCCTGATCGTGTTGTTTCTGTAATATCTCATACTTGTACTGTAGACATCTGCCGTTCTCCTCCTCTAGGTGGAAGCTACAAGACATTTTCTATATAAACCATTTTTATTCAAAAGAATTTAACAAAGACGTAGAAGTGATAATCACCAGTAATTACAATATGTAGCCATGTCTTTATTTCATCGAAGTACCAACACTGTGAAAAATTAATATATAACTTGTAAAACATGTGTACAGACCTGCTCTGCAGCTCGCCCTGTTTCTCCAGCAGTACAGCGTTCATCTCCTGTAGATGTGCTATCCTCTGACTCATCTGGGTCGGATTTCTGTCAATGAACAGTTAAAAAAAATCTTAATTTGATTTAGAAATACTTCACTGTGTGCTTCTGTTTTTATATATTTTCTGATTTTTTTAAGACCTTCAGCTAAAATATAAATTCAGTAAATGTACTGTCATATTTGACAAAGAACACTGATAAGTGATATTTTCAATCTACACTGAATGATAATAATAATATACAACATTTATATAGCGCCCTATATAATTTTGCAAACTTACTCTAAAGCGCTTTACAACATATGGATAATAGTAATGGTTATAATTCTGAAAAAAAAAATACAGATACAGATTTTTCCATCAACTGGAGTTGCCATCTGATAACCTAACCATAGAACATGGCTGGTATTAATGATGACAACCACTAGATTGGCAGAGTGATGCAAATTTTTTCAATGAAAGAGGCAAAATTGTATGACATCGACAGCAGTAGATGTGGTAATTGGTGTGTATGCAAATTCCAGGCTGTCACTTTATCAAGCCAACCACTTTTTTTCAATTTCCTTAATATGATCAAATGGAGTTATCATTAGATAACCTCACCAGAATATTATTCTGTAGTATGTAACAGGTTAGAGAAAAAATCTACACTCAACAACATTTTTATTTTTTTAGTTTTATTTTAATATCAAAAATCAAAATTAATTCCAAAGGAATGAAGAAAGCAATGGGTCTTCTTGCCCACAAGGTAATAACATCATTCAGAAATAATTTTACATTCACAAATAAATTTTCACTCGATACATTTATCTTGTTTAAACAAATGCCAAAGGCATCACATGTTCTGCTTGGAATAAACAGATATTTCAAGTTTAAACACAACTTAAATTTGCATAAAAATAAACAACTGTAGTCACACGATATAATAATGTCTACAACACTAGACCAATTACGGATTATTTGCCGTAAAGTGTCATCCAGGTCTTTGCCAATAGTGAAAATAAGGTATAGGTGTAAGGTATATTGTCATTATTGTGTATTATTGTATGATTGGCCTATTGGTGAGGATAAGGCATTTGTTTTTGTATTAATAGTTTTAGAAGTATGTCGTAAGTTTGTTATTTTATAACGAAATACACAGTTGCAACTAAAACCCTTCACTTACTGTATTCTCACTCCGTCACTATCTACAGACTCCCATTTCTCAAGACGATGCTTCATTTCCTGAAAGAATTATAGTAAATTTGATTTAAACATATTTTATTGCAGAAATTTGCAAATGGATTAGGCACAAGTTATTCCAGCTTATGAAGCCTTCTCCCAGATACATTTTATACAGTGTAAATGGCAACATCAATAGATTTTACACAAAAATATAAAAAAAAAAAAAAAGGAGAGAGAGAGAGAGAGAAAATAGAACCTCCCACTGTCTTTAATAAACCTCTGTACTGATTTGAATACCTGGATGTTTTCCCCAAGAGACAAATCTGAACTGCCATTTAATAGTAAGTCTAAGTTTATAATACCATATACAGATAATGTAAGTAATAACAATCGCCTTTCTCTTTCATATAGTAAATAGTAAATTCAGTACATTACATTTTCTACTATTCATGCTTTCATTTGGCATTTGTAGATTAAATGAATTTTTACTGAAATGGAAAGCATGCAAGTGTTACGACAATATCAACATCACTTTTGAAGATAACTTTTAAAATGAAAATAACCGCCAATTTTTTTTGTAAAGACCTCAAAAATGTCACAACAGGAAAGTACAATGAATAGAAAAACACTTACTGTATTTTCAACTTCCATTTTTGCAAACTCTTCTGTACGCTGTTCTAACCTTTCCAATTTCTTCTTCATACTTTCTGCTTGTTCTTTCAGTAAGAGGTTGTTTTCATTTGTACCCCTGATGGACACAGGTAGGAAAAAGACAATATATCATCCCAGAAAAATATATATAACTTACTTTCCTAACACACTTTTTGTGTTTTAATGTTTAATTAATGGAACCTATATATTTTACTGTTGTTAAGAACATGTGGAAATGTATACAAATCCACATCCATAAAAGGAAAAGCATTCCTACACTATATGAGATCATTTTTTTTTTATTATTAGACCACAATAGCTGATAAAAAGAAATGCAGCAGGCTTATTTCAGTGATTAATAGTCCTGGTAGAGCAAAACGCTCTTGAATATGAACTATGTCAGACTTGTTGTGGGTAAAACCCAAAATCTGAGGTCCATGTATCCTACTGGGTTATTTGAATTTCCTGCACTTTTAGCAGTTGACCTGCATAAGCCCTTAACCCACTCTAATATGTATGATTCAGATTTTGTTTTCTCTACACAAATACAAAACTTGTACGAGATATCACATGTTGTATCATATATCATATGAAATTTGTTTTACCCTACAATGAAATTTAAAATCACTTTTTGTTTTATTTCTGGCATTTAAAGAAAACTTGATAATTAAATCACTGACCTAAGATACTCGTTTTCCTCTCGAAGTTTCCTGACTTCCTTCTCCAAAGCTGGGAGAGAGATGATTTGACTTTTCATTGCCTGGGTCATTATAGCGTCCTCCGACATCCTACTCACCTGTTGTTCCAGCATCTGGGTACAACATTACAATAATTAATATGTACATATCATAGTAAACACATGTGCCCTATATTTGCTGTATATTTTATTCCATCTTACTCCAGCTGCCGGAATCATGTAACAGGTGTGATCAATTTTACCTTCTTGAAATCTTATATTTGAACATCTAGATATATATAAAATTTTGAAATAATTGAATTGATCAGACCTTTGATCAAGAGGTTCCAAAATCGCATTACATTGCAATATTTTGAGATGACACATTTGCATCAAATATTGAGTGTTCTTTTGTCAAATCATGTATTGGGTACAAAAATACAACCCCTTTTTTAAAAATAGATATATGTGTTATTTGGATAAACCACATATGCACATGGTGAGAAATGATTGTTGTTTATATTCAATTGAGTGAGTTTATTCTCAACTACATGTACCTGGGTCATCAATTCAATGTACTTTTAAAATATATCAATTGTCATACAATTGGACGTATCTTTACATGGATATAACGAAGACCTTGTTTATCTGGGCCCAGTTGTTCAAGAGGTGGTTAGCTTAAAAAAGTGTGCACTATACGCGAAAATTTACGGTAATCACAGTTTAACGATATTTTTTTCAACCTGAAATAATTTTGTCAATAAACAAGGTAAAATCTCACAATTTCACCTGTAAATACTTTTACTAAATATTTGGTATCTGGAGAGTTGTAACTAATTCAATGGTTGTGTTTAAAAGATATACAAAAATTAAGATTTGCACTAATCACCGATTATGCTTATCACCTTTTGAACAACTCGGCCCTGAAGTTTTACATGATCATAAAATCATAATGAATCTGACATACCAGTATTATAACATAGCTTGAATGTGTATTAACTTGTTTCGGGAAATTTTACACAGCTGTTTACAACACGTTTATGTATATTTCTGAATAATTTCACAGTTTTTTCCAAGACAACTTTCTTTCAGTCCTTTTTACAGACTTCTTACCTATACAGTGTATCTATATTTATTCTTTAAGAATAAATTTCAACAGCATTTCTTGACCAAGAATAACAAATCAGTTTCAATCTTGTTTGCCAAGTATATTCACCCTATATAAAAGCCAATCAAGCCAAACTGACTTTGAACTTAATTTCCCTTTACTCAACACGATACTGCCTTAGTCACTCAAGCTATAACTTAATTTGAGACTTCCTCATTGTGTTTGTAATATTCAGGCCTGGACAAGTGGGAAATAAAGGATGTTGAAAAAGGAGTTGGTTATACTGGAAATTGAAGACAAAAGAAAACCTAATCTTGTATATTAAATTAAAAAACTCGTAATGGTAGGGGGTGTGTTCAGACCGCAGACTTAAGAAGGCACATGGAAGTCAAGCATTGTAGAAGTAATTATCTATAACATTTAAATATTCAGTGAAATGCTTACCTTGATCTTGTGTTCAGCTTGCTGAGCAGTGTTTCTGTATTCCTCTAACTCCTTCAGCTCCAATGACAAATCAGCTGATCTCCTAAAATGGGTCATTTCATAAAAAAAATAAAAAAAATATAACTGCCTACCCTTATTAGGTTTGTTTAACACAAAACAGTTGTTGATTAATGGCTATGGGTAATGCAATGGGTAATGCAAAACCTGTCACCTACATCGGATAAATAAGTCATACATAATTGTTCTTTAAGATCACAATAAAACCTATGCAACCTATATTTAGCAGCTTGTAATGATGTTCAAGTTATGTCAGCTCCACCTTGGACTGGCTGTTGTATATACTGTTTATATCATTATTAGTTCTTCAGAAAACTAATTCAATAAAATTAATAAACTCTTGGTTGTGTAAAAATTCATAATATACCTGTTGCCATTTACTGTTTTCACAATTTATTATCAATTATTCGGAAATAACTTCATCACTTTTGGAATCATATACTTGTAAACAATTGATCTTGACATAAACAGGGAGTAAAGCTTTGATAATGCTTCAAAAACTTTAAACAACAGGGTTTTTTTCATACTTCACGTTTAATAACAGAAACATGTTTTCACAAAATATCACAAAAGTTTCAAACACTAGTTTACGGATCTATCAGAATCACTCAAAACTTCTACTTGCTTTCCAAGATAAGATCAGAAATATATTAATACTTCAAAATGACAATTACTGTTTCATCAATCAGTTTTTTTGTGTCATTTTTTTTCTTTCTCTTTTCGTTTTTTTATTTTTTTTATTCCAGAAGTTAGAAACAAAAATGCCTAGGTAAACAATCTAAACAACACTTTTTAAGTTATGATTTTCTTCCTTTGGAATTGTTTTTAGTTTTTATCAATCAATATGAATGTTTGATGGTACACATTTTCAAAATAACCTTATAAAACAATGTCTGTAACAAATGCAGTACGTTAGATATTTTCCCGTCTGTTACCTACTTTAACTGTAGTTGTAACTGTTCACTGGTTTGCTCCACCTCCACTTTGGCTTGCTGCGTTTCTGTCTGGCACTTCATCAGGTCATTTTGCAGCTCAAAGATTTTAGTTTTTGATGAATCTCTCAACTGCAGAGAAAAATTATTACAGACAAACTACATCAGAACTAGATAGGTAATATTTACATATAATTGTTAGACTTTAACACAATTCAGTCATACTTGTTTTCATGACTCTATAATTTTACTGCCCAAAGATTTCAATAAAACAAGTTGGAAATATGTCTGTGACTTTAATACATGTATGTTATCCTGATAAAACAAGTATTGTGTGGTACATGTGCTATTTCTATGGGCTCATAGACTCTTGCACACCTATGACCAAGTATTAAACAAAGCGTAGTAGAATTGAGTCATTTCGGTACATTTCGTATATAAAAACTAATTATACATACTTGCAGCGTAGCCGAATCGACATTGATTGGTGGACAATTTGTACATATTTTACACCTTTGTGTACAAATGCTTCACTGGACATTTGTCTGATGAAGACGACAGAGTACATACCTTACTAGTCATTGAAACATCACATATAAACACATTTTCTGGTTGTGCTACATGAATCTTTTCACAATCGAGACTTACCAACCTGAAGAAAATGTTTAGAAATACTATTTCTTTCTGTATTCATGCTACCAAACCTATCTATCATACAAGACTATTACAACAGAGTAATAATTTTTTTAAATCAGTTCCTCATTATTTGTTTGCCAACATAGATTATAGCTCTAGTCATGCCAGAGGAAACCTTTTAGTTATCAACCTTGAACTTTTCATCTAAACACTGACGGGACCACAGAAGTTAGTTTAACCATGCGAGGACTATTATAAAGGTTCTTGCCTGTTGTAGCATCTGCTGCTTCTGTACTTTCTCTTTCTGCTGGGCCAACATCTTCGCCTCAAACTCAGCATTCTTCTGCTTCAACTCCCCTCGGCAGGCCTCAAGTTCCTCCTTTAGATTTTTCTCCTTGTCAGACATGTACTTTAGTTTGGCTTTCAGTTCCTTCATCATTTCCTCCTCTCGCTGCAGATACAGAAAAATAAATATCTTGTCTTGTTATTTGGTTGGAAGACCAGTCATTATGACCTGTCAACGGACCTATATTTTGTATATGTTTGCAGAAAATGAAACAGTGACACTACAGATTATTTTTTTGATCAAACAAACCATTTGCCGGTCAGGTTCTGCAGGTGGTCACTATACATGTCATTATGTGATAAGCAGACTTGGGACTTTATCAAAATTGTCATTATAAGCAGCTGACCACCAGTCAAGTTTGACTGTATATAAATATGCTATAATGTTGACCTATATGTATGTCACCCTGGTAAAAAAAAATAGCCGCTTCCTTCCAACTCGGCTAGGGAGAATTTCTCTTTAGCTCATTTGGTAGGGTGTAAGCCGTAAGACTAGTAAACCAGGGGTCCCAGGTTCGACTCCTAGAGGAGGCATTAAAAAAATAATTACCTCTGTTACATATACATGTATTCTAAAAAAAAAATGCTGGTTCAAAATTGATGAATAGCCGTCTAATTTTGCTGGCAACCGGCTACTAATTGAAACACTGGCCACAGAAGATTTTTTTCTATCACAATATATATCAGAATAACATGAAGGATTTGTGTAATTCTGCTAAATAATAATTGGGTATTGTCAAATCACAAGTCCTTAAACAAATGAAAAAGACAGTAGATTACTAGAAACATCTTTAATATCAGTACAGTTTACGGCAATAGGCTTTTAACATGACTTACCTCCCTATCTCCTTTCATGTTACCAACATTCAAATCCATCTCAATTTTGGCCCTTTTACAAGATGTTCGCATATGATCAACCTCAGACTGCAGTTGTAAAATTTTGCTTTTAGAAGCAGCCATTTCAGCATCTTTCAATCTTCCTTCCTTTTCCCTGTCTTTGAAATAATCAAAAATATACAAAAAATATACATATTATACATGTCATCACATATATCTGTATCTTCATAAACCCTTACCAGTTCTGCAAGCTACCTTTTCCTCAAGAACTCCTTCTAAATTCCCACTGGTTTGACCACTAGTAAATTTCTGAAATTCTGCTTAACAGTAGCAAGCCAGAAGTCAGAACTGCACATTCCAATTTCAATTTATAATCAAAGCAATTCACATATTACCTCATACTTGGTATAAACATTCATTTCAACATATCCCGACCACAAAAGGCATTGCTGAATGTCATTAAGTGCCTCCACTAATAAAGAGTCAAATCCAGGATTTTTATTAGTCAAGCATTCCACTGATATAAAGGGAAATTTTCTCAAACTAAAACAACAGTTTTTATAAAAAATTCAAGTAGCAAACTAACTTATTAAAAGATAAACTCCAGCTCATCCATTCCAGAAGAAACGTTCTAGGTGATCCAACTTAAACTTGTTGGAATCAGGCAAAATACTGCAGTTCACACAGTGTTTAAATTTTGCATGGAAAACAATACAAATAATATCTTAGGATATCCCCTATTTATAGTTTTAGGTCAATCTGCTAACTTACCGTGAGTCAAAATGAAGTATAAGCTAAGTAAAGCACACATGAACAACCCTAGCTTAAACATTACATCTATACAGACAAAACTGCACATACCAAGCAGGACTTTGATGGACAGAGCTGACTGTGAGGATTGATTCAGGGACATATCTAGGCTGCGATCCAGATCAAACCGTGGAAGTCCTTGTCGACTTGTATTGGACAGAAAGCTGTCAAAGTCCCTCTTCATGCGGATTACTGCTGTGTTGTCTTCTGGCGTATCCATCTTGTAAACTGAAATTAAAAAGATTGAAAAAAATACTGATTTTTGTTTTAAAGTATATGTGGTGACTTTTTTGTAAGCAATGGAAAAGTCTGATCGTAGAAATCAAAGTTGGACAATTACTTTCCCTCTTACATAATATACATATATGATAAACTAAGTATGCATTATCGTGACAACATATATGACTCTTTTAAAATATTCCATTCAAAAGACATACGCTACAATTTTTTTAGAAGAAAAAACATGGCAAACGATTCGTTAGCCTTTTTTTTCAACAAAGTTAGGCCACAGCAAACATTAGCTGCGATAACCAGGTTGGGCACAACGGCGCATATGGGTAATAATCCTGCATTTGGGTAACAGTTACCCATTTGAGTAGCAATTTTATTACTGAAATGGGGAATAAAGTGAAATAAAAACACACAAAGTTCTTTTAAACACTTGGAGCAAAAAAGGGCGTCATTCTGGCAACTAAATCAAATAAATAACACAATGAAGTACATCTGTGCACAAAAAAAATTATCAATTCTGATGTCGGACTTTTTTTGAAAAGGACAAACCATATCACTGACTTTGTTCTCCATTGACTTCACATCCAGTACAAATGTGATAGGTGAGCATGATTTTTTATGTGTGCTATTTATAGCTACTCTACAACCCCCTATAATTAATGGAGGTGATACAATTTGTCTTTTTCACAAAAATTTAGACAATTGAATTTACATATTTTTGTACACAATTGTACCTCATTGTATTTTTTATTTGATTATGTTGAAAGAATGATGCCCTTTTTTGTTCATAATGAGCAAAAGAACTTTGTGTGTTTTTATTTCACTTTATTACCCATTTCAGTAATAAAATTATTACAGAAATGGGTAACAGTTACCCGAATGCATGATTATTATGCGCCGTTGTGTCCAACCTGATAACGTACAGCTTTCTGACTACGAGAGATTTTTTTATATATTGCGTCGTCAGAGCTACGAAGCGGTCCTATGCCAACTAATGGACAAAATCAAAAAGTGCCGGGCATGAATATTAGTACTGTACTGTGTAGGCCTACAAAAAGTAAACATGTGCACACCATTTGTTTACAACAACATATGACATGGGCCGGTGTAATAAATAGTGGGATATGCTTTGTTATTTAAACTATGACGTGAACTTGTTATACTAACACCTTATTATGTTGAGTTCGACCTGTCGTGCACCAGCTTACATAAACCTGTTGGGAAGATAAAAGGTTAGGTCAATGCATGGCTTGATAGCACCGGGTATCCCAACTTCTTGAAACACGGCGCCATTTTTGTTTCTGATTCAAGGGACGTAACTCAAACTCTGATCACAGGAACATTATAATTTGTTACAGCTATATTTGGACCTAAACTAAGACGTTCAGAGTAATTTTACATGTTTTAGGGGTTTAGATCGACTTTCGGTAAAAATGACACCCTCACTCAATGGTCATAGGTCCAAATATAGTTGTAACCAATTCTCAGATCCATGTGTCCCTGATTAGCGCGCAACAGCCGACCGTTATATGGAAATCACCTAAAAGGTGCATATAATTGTGGGTTCAGATAATGAGAAACTTTTAATTTGAATTGAAATATTTAATTGAAAAATTTACCAGGTGTTTTTTTCAATTTGTTATATATGTTCTTCTATGTACAGTTAGTACACAACGGATTTTAAGGATGATCTAATTCCATAGTACAACCGGCATACATTTGAACAGAGACGTATAAAGCCATATATATACGTCTCTGATTTGAAGAACCAGGACGTGTATTCGAGTAAATCCTTGCTGAAGTTAAAATATTCATTTGTTTGTATTTTCACATCGACATACATATACTTACTTTTTTTAAATAGGGGCTTCCTTACTTCGAATTTCTAGAGATTATTTTCAAACATAATGACACGACTAGTATATCTATCGCTAAGATCTCCTTACACCTCTAAAACAACGATTCCGACCCAGGACAGTTGTGAAACTTGCCAATACCACTGAACCCATCATCTAAACAACATACAAATGTATTAATATTTTTTTGCAAAATTTTACATTCTTGTTTCTTCGAATTGGCCACGATAGTCCGAAAAATAACTGATTTTTTTAAACTCCCATCCCCCCCCCCCAAACCCATCCAAACCCCCATAAAAAAATAAAAGAACACAGTTATTTCGGACAGGACATCCATTATCGAAAAGTTCATCCATTAAAAAGATATCACAAGGAATCCGCAAATTATTCATAGAAAAAAATCTTTCTTGAGTGTGAGTAAGTGTGTTTGTTAGAAACGTTAACATAAATAATGTAAACGTTTGAAAAATAATTCAAAACAAGAAATACTGATGAAATTAAAAGAAAAACTTAATTGAAAATCGTAGCTGTAAAGTACTTGTAGAATACTTTAGTCAAATGCTAGCCCTTTCCTGTCTGGTTTGTTCCAGGGTTCTCTCCTAGGTCCCTACTTATATTTGATATTCATGATATTTGTTGATTATTTTATCAATAACGTTATCATTGCATATAAGCCTGCAAGACGATCTACAACATAAGAAAAATTGGTAAAAGAACAGTTTTTGATGGCGAGAAGTGAAAATATTAACTGTATTACGCAAAGGAACCCCAATTATATAAACAAATACATCACATGCACGTCCCTATAAATGTATTACTACAACACTATCTGGGACCCGTGCCCCTAGTAAGACACATGCACGTCCCTATAAATGTATTACTAAAACACTATCTGGGACCCGTGCCCCTAGTAAGACACATGCACGTCCCTATACATGTATTACTACAACACTATCTGGGACCCGTGCCCCTAGTAAGACACATGCACGTCCCTATATATGTATTGCTACAACACTATATGGGACCCGTGCCCATAGTAAACCACATGCACGTCCCTATACATGTATTACTACAACACTATATGGGACCAGTGCCCCTAATAAGACACACTGACAAGGAAAGGAAGGACGGACAACTTGACACAGGATTAACAAAACGAAATAATGTTGTCTTACCATAGGCGGAAGAATAGTAATGAGTATCCGACCAATTAAGGAAGAAAATAAACCCAGTCATTCTACATCCCATAGGAATTCACCAAGGACCAATTTTAGGATCGTTGCAATTTATAATATTGTAAATAAACTGCTTGAAATAAGTGAATCCTGTATTTACTCAAGCATATTTGCAGATGACGTAAAACATACATGGTATAAGTATGGTAACACTGACATGGGTAAGATCATTCTTAAAAAAACACCAGTATATGCCCTAATTTAACAGAGTTCCATGTATCGTATTCGGTTTTCATGATCGCTCTTTGATTGCTTTGAAAATTACATCCTTAATCCAGAAAATTGCTGTCAATCTATTGAAAGACTCGCATATGGGATGGAACACTCCCAAAAAATAAATAAATATACATATTTAAGTCAGACGCACCAGTGTCCATATGCACTGTACTGATAAACCGCAAGGTTTAAGGTAATAAAGAATGAATGAATGAAAAAAATATATTGGAAAATACTGTTGTTATTACTTATGAGACCTATATATGTCTCCACGCCACACAACGTCGTTAATAAGGAAGATCAAACTGTGAGCATATTTTCGGGTCACAGACATAAACATCTGACGTGAAAAATCAATATTTTTACAGTTTGACCTCGATAGAAATCTTCGCCTCGATCCGCTTGATGTTGAAGATTAAACATAAGAAAAATATATATTTCAACCCAAGAACAAAACCCCAAACTCATGAAAAAAACTCCGCTTCCAAAAATTATATAACTGACATCTTCAGGAACAGACTTCGATCCCGCTCGGCGTTAATTTAAAATAGTATGTCAAAACTTTGAAGAACAATTTCCGCCTCCTCCCGATCGGGGATATTAAATTAGAATTCGTGAACAACCGAGTTGTTGATTATTTGCAATACTTGCTAATACAGTAGAAAGCTGTGATGAAGGATTTGGTTAATCACTATACGGTGTCTGTTATTATAACCCATTATAACATTTGTGGTAACATAGACAACTAGGCCTAGCTAAGTATTTTTAGTTAAATTATCTAGGTGACATCATCAATTCATGGACGTTCTAGATCTGTATCTCTAGCGATTTTGCGTTATAAAAATTGTCTTTTCAAAACGGAAATATTGGTATCTTTTAAAAGTTGTTATTTTTTTTTTCTTAAATCGCAGTTTTGGTTTCTGTTTCATTCTATACACTGTACTCCAACTGATAATGTTCGGTTAAGGCAGGTTTCACAATACTCAAATTTTTACTTCAGTCAGTTGCTTCATTTTCTTTCTATTTGAATTAAAATTGTAGGCAACATAATCAAGTATGTTTTCTCTTAAACTAGAATCTATAATACTGAACTCGTACACTCAGATCGTAGGATAACATTGACAACAAGTGCATGAAAACCGCGGGAGAATTCTTGTTGTTGTTGTAAGCGGCCTTTCAACCACTGTGGATGTCACGTGACCGACTGCCATTATGCTAAGTTTAGAAAATGTCTCACGCGATTTAGGGGGGTTTCTCCCTCTCATGTGATATTTTCTCTTCATAAAATGCCCGGCCCTGTCGAAAGATGGCTGGAGACTTTTATGTGTAAACAATATGCCGACACTTTTGAAGCATATGGATTTAAAACACTGCAGTCCGTAAGTTGACCCTTTTATCAAGATTAACAAGATGGCGTACTGTGGCAAGATTTGAAAGCACATGTCGTACAAGAACGCAGTTATTTATATTATTGTTTTGTTTTGTAGGTATGTCAGCTACAGCATCCACAACTCCAAGCTATGGGTGTTGCGCAGGAACACTGTGAGAAGATACTAGAGAATGTGCATGTATTAAGACAGACTATATATGGTAAGGACCCCAATACACAGCCTCAGAATTTCGTGTTATTTACACGTTTACTCACTGTTGTTTACAAATAGAAATGACAGTTTACGTTCTGACGCATCATCCGAATAATAAAACAACAAACAGAAGAGAAAGAAAGTAAATGAATGGCGTATTTCATAATGAATTCGTATTTCTCTGCACTGAAAATTTGAAGAATAGTTCTCGGTTGAAATGCAACAAGGAGGACATGGTATTTTGACCAGAGGTTTAATTATTTAAACCTCTGGAAAGGTCATCATTTGATAAGTGAATTCAAGAAAATTCCATTGTTATAATATTGTAAAAGATGTGCATTGATTAGGTAGCCTTACAAGCGTCAGCTGTAGGGAAATTCCCTTTAGCTCAGCGCTACGTAGCATCGGGCTGGAGAGCCAAGCCAAGGGTTGCAGGTTTGGGTTGCGGGTTTGAGCCCCAGCGATGGCACTATCTTTAACACTATTCCTCGTCGTACTACAATATCAAATTCAGATAAAAGATATAGGTACTGGTTTAATTGCTGTGATTCGCTTATTATATGTGAAGGAAAAATGCAACAGCCTGGCCAACCCACTGAACTACCCGGTCATTGACGATTGACACGAGTCTTAGGTGCACTAAATCTCTCCAACACATTTTTACCCCAAAGACTCTGAATCCTGTATTACCTTCAATAGGTATATTATAAAGTGAACCCTTGACTTTTCGATGCCTGATAGTTTTGGAATCTATGAATACAATAGTTTGGTAAGGACCATAACATCTTTAAACAAGTACCAAAAAACAGCTGTACCTTTAGCTGGGCAGAAAATTCAACTGGTAGTGAAAATACCATGGCCAGACTTACCTGGTTGTCTAGCTTGAACAGCACAAGGTTCAAGTCCATTTACATTTCTGAAGCCCTCTTACAACGACAATCAACCCATGCCATGATCAGTTTTATAGTTGCTTAGTATAAGATTAATATCAATTGTATATTACCTATGAATTGTGTTGAGGCTAGATGAGGAGAAATATTTGTTTGTTGCTACATTTACTAGAGAGCCAAATCTTGGGACAATATTGTTACACAAATCCAAAATATTTTTTACTTCCTAAAAAAACAAAAATCCTAGAAATTAATTGTTTTCATTGTGGAAAAAATCTAATTCAAATTATTATTGAGTTGTTGACTGAAGTTATCCATAAAATGTAACCAATTCCATGACCCCAAATGGAGCAAGAATAAGGGCGGGGGTCGAAGTTTCGTATAGTTACAGCTTTGCTGCAGGTCCTCCCTCTGTATCATGAGGATCCTCCAGCTCCCGTACTGTACATACCCGAACATCATGGTATTTCAGACTTCATTTCTTATCTGATTGCCATGCAACTTCATGTATTTGTTAACGTTCACAAGCATAATCTCTTACTCAAGTTTGTGTTTCAAATTTAACCAGTAACAAACAAGGTCATTGTTACTGTAAATAGAATTTTGGTGTTGTCGCTCTACGGACTAATCTGATTGATTACGAAAGTTCATGTGCGGTAAACCTCCAGTCAGTTTGAATAGGCGGATAGTTTGAACACACTTTTTGAACAATAAAAATAATAGTTTTCTATCTAGTGATAGTTCGAACCCTGCTTAGACACGTTTCGGATTGTTCGAACACACAATTTGAGTACTGAACTTACGTAATTATTGATCGAGGTTTGTTAATAGCGATGCAGTAATAGCCTCACGAAACTCGCTTAAACTTGATCTATTTGCGCATCGACAGCATTTAACTACTAAATAACGGGTAGAACTCATACAATTTGTACATAAATAAGTCACATGTCACCGATAATTGAGTTTGTTTCTTGTAAACATGTGCACGGGCCATTCAAACATCTTTAGGCCCCTACCATGTATAATATCCCAACAGTACACGGAGTGCGGAATGTTACATCGACAGACGTGTGTATTGTCATGATATCAATTTGATTATATAATCGCGACATGGCCACTGATCACTGATTTGTAACTTAATTGATATATTACCTATACACGTGCCAAACCAAAAATATCTGACCAGGTGGTCGACCGAACTATTAATCCGTAATTGCAGTTTCAATCCACCCTCCGCATTCTGATCAGTACAACTGAACTTTCGTCATTACTCGAGAAAACATCTACTGCTTTGCGACCTACATACTTGTCTTTGCTTTGCAATTGAACATAATAATTGATTATCAATATGTAAGTAAATATAAGAAAGATATATATACCATTATTCATCTCCAGATTTGCAAATATGTATCGCAATAAGGCTGTTGTTGTTCCGTATCAATGACCTTACTGTTTACCGTGATTTTTGCCGATGTCAACTTGGAATGTTCGAACTACCCTTTATTTTAGCGGTAATAATTTTGTGTAATTCGAACAGGAATGACAATATTTATTTAATTTTGTTCAAACTGACCAAAGGTTTTACGTATGTGTTAACAAGCTAGCATCTGTTCTGCTACAAGTTTGTGTTCTAACATTCTGGGATCAAAAGTCAGGTCACTTATTATAAATAGAATTTTTGCCATTGACACTCTACAGGCTTCTGTTTCGATTTAGCTGATTATCATTAAACTAAATATGTGACATTAGTGTGTGTTATACAAGCATCATCTCTTGTATCAGTTTGAATTTCTATCTTATGGGGTCAAAATTAAGGTCACCATAACTATTAATATAATTTCAGCAGTATTATTCTACAGCCTTATATTACTCTTTTTCAATTGCCACATATGCATGTGTCCACAAACCTCACCTGATCATGTATGAGCTTGCATTTTTATCTTCTGGGATGAAATTCAATGTCATTGTTACTTCAAATAGAATCTGGATCACCACTCTGCTGACTTCATTTCTAACCCAGTTGTCACAAAACTTTACACACATCAAGGGGTCATCACCTATGCAGACTTTATTTCTTGTCTGATTGTCATGAAACCTCAATGTTTGTAATAAAATTTTAAACATCACTTCCTGTGCAAGTTCATGTTTGAACCATTGTAAGATCACTTTGTTCCAAATAAAAATGAGAACATTGATATCTCAGCACTGTTTCATGGATGGACTGTGTTTGGGTACATTGTGAAAAGGTGTAGTGTTGTAATACCAAAACGGGAATGCATCAGTCTTTCTTTGACAGTGATGTCCAGTACTAAAATATTGGATTTCAAACCACTTTCATGATTGAATGGACTCAATCTTTAAACGTATGGCAGGTACATAATGAGAAGGCACTGTATGACATACTAAAATAAGGTCACTGTGACCACTTCTGACCTCTTGATCATGACCACGGATGCAAAAATGTAGCATTTCCGAGCTAATCTTGACCAGAAATGACAACTATTATATGTGTGGATCTCTGACTTTTTGGTAAAAATATACATCATGAGACAGCGCTGTGTTGTATAAGAGAATAAAGTCTCTTCAACCTCTTATCACCCCTTGACATTTGATCTTGGATGTAGAATTATAGATTTTTGGAGCATATCTGGGCCAGTATTCCATATACGGATGGGCATGAGCATCTCATTTGGTATAATGTAGCTATATGAAGAGTTGCTGTGTCAAAATGGGAACATTGTCACCCAGACTCGACCTCAAGTATCAAAATGGGAACATTGCCACCCAGACTTGACCTCAAGTATCAAAATGGGAACATTGTCACCCAGACTTGACCTCAAGTATCAAAATGTACAGTTTTACTTGCAATCTCCCCAAGGTCTTGTAATTATAGGGAGAGTTCTTATGCTCATATATATGCATGTGTACATCACGGTCAAGCAGTGAATCGAGTACCAGAAAGGGGGCACTGCAACCTCAATTCAATGTATTTTTTCGTACAAATGTGGGATACAAGTGTATCCACCAATCCCCCAACTTATTCAAGATGGGTTTGTTATATACATAGTAATGAGACTATTGACTCTCTGTTGACTGAATAATCTTTTAATCAGTTATCACAGATAACTTGATAAACTACATATATATGTTCTAAATATGATTCCAAAGAGTCATAAGTAATAGGGTTTATCATCTATATTGCAAAATAGATTCTGGCATAAATGTTATAAATACATTCAGGGCAATAGCAGCCAGATCTTGCAAATGTCAGCTGACTGTTAAGGCCAATGGGCCTCTTAGCTTGCTAAGGATCCTTGTACCACTGCCAAAAACTGAAGATATATGAATTGGAATCTTTTGTACTGGAATTAAAATAGCTTTAATAAATCATTTCTGAAAAGAAACACATCAATTTAAAAGAACTTGAATGAAAATTGTATAAAGAAAAAATAAGCAACAAATATTCAAGGGTTCTGAGAGAGAAAAGCATTGCAGTAAGACACGGATTTGAACCCTGGACCTCCGATACAGTCGCTTTAACCAACTGAGCTACCAGATCAGTGGTATGTCCCTGGCCAAGTTCAACTGCAGTTAGGCCAAATAAAAATGTAGTTGCGTTTCCTGTGTCCCTGACCGAATCTATTTTTTCCTGTCGACCCTAATACATTTTATTGGTGTTTTTTTAAAGTAACACACGTTATCTGTTATCAAATGTACTTTCTTCGTTTTTAAATCTGGAAATAACTAAAAAATGAAATGAACGTGCTGTAATGTAGTTTGAAACACTAAAAAAATATCATGAAGAAAACAATCATTACATACTTAAGTTTTGTTGTAAAATGTGAGCATAGGAACTCCATAAAAAACGTTTTTTTTTATCTTCAATTTAATAGCGCATTATAAGTAGTGTCATGTTGCTAAACACTGCTGAAATGAATAGAAAAAACCTTTTCAAGTCCCTGAGAAAAGCTAGGTACAAAATGCAGTGAAAATTCATTGAGAGAAATTTAGAAAAACTGCAGTAATTAGTTCTGGTAGATCTGTCGGCATGATACTTCCTTTCAGGGGAGATCACTCTGATATCAGATCTTGAGCTACGTGTATTTACTAGATTTAG